ATTTTTCAGTGCATTCGGGGTATTTTGGAAAGTCTCCTGAGGTTATCTTTTAAAAATGCTTCTAAACGCAAACGCACATAAATGTGGTATGCAAACGCGGCTAAACTGACGTTTTTTAACCTACGTTTTCCAGCAGTCAGTTTCCATCGTTCAGAAGAGTTTTCCAATTGCTCCGTGTACATGAGCCCTTACCCTAAAGGGAATCTCCAGGAAAGTATGCATTGGGAATATTTCACTGGAGTATAAATCAGTCCAATTGTATAATTTTTACTTTATGATTTCAGGAAGAGGCAGCGTGCCCTGTGGCTCTTTGCCAATTCCAGGTATGTGATTTTGGAACTTTTTTTGAATTATGGGAAATAGAATTAACAGTAGAGTCCTCCTTTAAATCTGGATTGTCAGCACTGACATAGGACGCTGAAAAACACACATTTCTCCTCCATCCATTCTCTTGTGGTAAAATGTTAGAAAACGCAGAGTTTCTATTTGACATCTTATTCCTTTGTTCAGACCTGTTAATATTTTGACAGCGTAGCCTGTGGTTTGGATATCAAAGCCAGCAAAAGAAAATTATTTCCCGCTTGCATGGTGACTCTGCAGCAGAAAATCAAAACGCAAATCAACTTTTCAAGTTAGAAGTCTACATCTAGCTGTTCTAATCTTACAATACACTTACACTGCTCATCTAGAACGGGTCTTAGGGCCGGTTCACGCTATAGAAACGCAGTCAAGATGCATTTCTGCATGAGCATTTTTTACACGTTCTGGTGCATTTTTGATGTGTTTTTGGAACGTTGCGGTGCATTTTTGATGCGTTTCCAGTTCATTTTTCCCCCTCTCTTTTTCTTCAATGTAAATAGGGACATGTGCATTCCAGTGCGATTTTAGTGCATTTTGGCATGCTCCGGTGTGTTTTTGATGCGTTTTACTGCATTCACACCTGTTGTACTTTTTTTTGCATCTGGAACACATTGCAACTACAAGCACTGATGTGAACTATGACATTGACAACCATATAACCTACTTTCTGTGCATTCTGGATGCAGAAAAAAAGCGCAACTGAAATGCATGTAGTGTGAATTGGTCCTTAAAGTGGTTGTAAACCTCAAACATGAAATATGAACAAAGCATATCCCTCTTAATTAAGAGCACCGAGCGTCATTTCTGTCTGTCTGCTGACTTGTTCATCTGCTATCAGCATGAATCACTTCAACAAGTTTTTCCTGACACCACAAAATAAAAAGGTGACAGAAGAAGGGGGCTCCAGCACACAGCCTGTGATTGACAACCTCAGCTCTGTTCCTGTGTGCTGTGTGAAGGGGGGTCCCTTTCATCCAATCAGCTCTCAGAGCTCTCCTCACTGAGCTTTGCAGAGTGGAACTTCAGCTCCAGGGCCCCTGCTTTCTGAAATCTCAGACAAGGTTTATAAATGGTGGACTGTAGAGAAGAGAAGACTGCAGATAAACAAGTACAACTTATGTGGGAAGAATTGTTTAATCTCTTTGAATCACGTGAGGCCAGTCACACCAGTACGTAAGGGTTTACAGCCACTTTAATAATAACTTTGAACTATAATGGTAGTGTGTGGCTAGAACAACCAATCCAAATCCTTTGTTCTGTAGTATGCTGACATCTAGTCGATGTTTTGGGGGACTATAACTGTTTCGTTATGCCAGTTGGTATCTCCTTCTGTTCTTCCCTCCTGTTTAATGCTAGGTGGTCTAGTCCTAACTAGACACTCCTTATATTTTCCATGTTCCCTCAGTCATTGTTAGTTCTTCACAGAGACAGGGCTTAGGCAAGTCATTATCTTCTTACATTTGAAATGACCAGAAAAACTTCTCCTGTATTGTGATTATCTAAAGCAGGTTTTCTCAATAATGGTTCCATGGAATCCTAGGGTTCCTCCAGAGGTTGCTAGGGGTTTCTTGAGCAATGAGCAATTTCTGCCTCTCAGATAAGTTCTCACTGACACCATTGATCTTTTTAGCTATCTGTAAGGTGGAATTCTTCCCAATGACCACAAGTGTAAGGAGTATTCTTCTCACCATAACACCAATGTATCAGGAGTTGTACATATAGTAACTTTTATCAGGGGTTCCCTGAGACCGGAAAGTTATTTCAGGGGTTACTACAAGTTGAAAAGGTTGAGAAATGCTGATCTAAAGTAAAAATCAGTTGTACTCAATTTCTGAGTCTTATTGAAGGGTTAGGCTGCCTGTGGATTATGCCAAGTCAGCAGGTGACCATACTGTCTGGGCAGACTGGGTCTAAGGAGGTATGTCAATGCGCAACCCAGAATTTGAAACAGAATACTGTGCACTGCATGCCTGGTGTCTGATGGAAACTAGAAATGACCATGTAAATGAGACAGCTTCTTGGTAGCTATTGCAATCATCATTGATCACAATCGAATGGATTGTAGGGTCAAATGTGCCACCTTGCCAGCAACAAGCAACTCTAAGATTGGGTTTTATGCAGACTGTTCATTCTGTGTTTATTTCTCATGCAGTTCACTAAAGCAACATGTAGTGCTTTAATGATATGCATAAAGAAAAAATAAACTCCTTTATACTCTGTAATCTCTCCCAACATAATACTAACACTTATTACAGATAAAATCAGGACCTAAAATTGTGTGTTTAAAATGTCATGACCCCTATAGAAGATGCAAAAGTAAAGGAAAAATGTGGAAATAAAAATCTAAACCCACTCCATCCCCAGGTATCTTGCCTTTATTTACCTTACCCAATCTGTGCTACAGCTCTGGTGAAGGATCCCAATACTTCCCATAAGGGAAGCACAGTGACTAAATGGTTATCACTTCTGCCTGACAGCACTAGGGTCATTGGTTTGAATTCCAACCCTGGCACCACCTGCCTGGAGTTTGCATGTTCTCCCTGTGCCTGCATGGGTTTCCTCTGGGTACTCCGGTTTCCTCCCATGCTCCAAAGCCATGCTGCTAGGTAAATTGACCCTAGTATATGTATATATGAATGTGAATTAGGGGCTTTAGGTTGTATGCTCCTTGAGGGTTAGGGACTGATGTAAATGTACAATATATGTACATTATATTGCCAAACATTTTGGGCCAGCCCTCCAAATCATTGGATTCAGGTGTTCCAATCACCTCCGTGGTCACAGGTGTATAAAATCAAGCATCTAGGCATGCAGACTGCTTCTACAAACAATTGTGAAAGAATGGGACGCTCTCAGGAGCTCATTGAATTCAAGGTTGGTACCGTGATAGGTGGCCACCTGTGCATTAAGTTCATCGGTGACATTTCCTGGCTACTAAATATTCCACAGTCAACTGTTAGGGGTATTATAACAAAGTGGAAGCAACAGCAACTCAGCCACCAAGTAGTAGGCCACGTAAAATGACAGAGCGGGGTCAGCACATGCCAAAGTGCACAGTGAAGGGAACTCTTAAGGCGTCAGCATACCAAGACATTTTGGACAATTTCATGCTCCCAACTTTGTAGGAAAAGTTTGGGGATGGCCCCTTCCTTTTTTCCGACATGACTACACACCAGTTCACAAAGCAAGGTCCATAAAGACATGGAGGAGTGAATTTGGGGTGGAGGAACTTGACTGACCTGCACAGAGTCCTGAGCTCAACCAGACAGAACACCTTTGGGATGAATTAGAGTGGAGACTGTGAGCCAGGCCTCCTCCCCCGACATCAGTGCCTGACCTCACAAATGTGCTTCTGGAAGAATGGTCAAACCTTCCCATAGACACCCTCCTAAACCTTGTGGACGGCCTTCCCAGAAGAGTTGAAGCTGTTATAGCTGCAAAGGGCGGGCCAACCCAATATTGAACCCTACGGACTAAGACTGAGATGCCATTAAAGTTCATGTGCGTGTAAAGGCAGGCGTCCCAATACTTTTGGCAATATTGTGTATGTAATGCACTGCGTAAATGGACAGTGCTATTTAAGTACCTATAATAAATAAATAATAGGGCACATGTGCCCATTCTCCCTATCCTATTAAGTAGAGGTCAAATTTCCAAATTATTCCCAATTAATGTGCCAAAACATGATCACATGAAGAGCGTGACCATAGGGTATGGTTATTATTTGCATAGGATATTTGCCAAGACTGTAGTGGGGGGAAAGGAAAGCTGGTTTCAGGAAGGTAAGTGGAGACATCCGAAGGTACACAACATGAAGCTAGTTTGTACGTTTTGTTTTAATACAACATTTTTAACCTATACCAATACACTTTATATATGAATATATGGTCCTTTTCCTTAATGTCTTAATGAGCTTTGTAACTTGTAAGTATAACATGGTTGTAGTAGATAAAGAAGAGTCTCAATAATGTATTTCCTGCAAAAAAACGGAGAATTACGAAAAATTCTCTGGAACTCTGTATCCAATATACACTCCATAAACACTGTAAAAACAGCCCTTTTAATTTAAAAGCTTTATTATTTGTTTACATTGACCAGATATGCATTTAAGTCCACTAAGCTGTCAGGATTCGCATATAGCAAACATTGCCTTATTTGTATGCATAAGTAGTATAGCAACTGAATATTACATTGGCTTTATGTTTACATAAAACTGGCTTTTAATTAAAAAATGCTCAGTTTATAAACAGCAAGCCAAAGAGGTCTATTTACTTTAATATAACTTGTACGCTCTTTGTACACTCACAAGCATAATGTATAAGTTGATTGCTTGTGACTGCCATTAGCTGAGTACATACAAGGCCAGAGTGACGATGGTTCTTGTTCATGATGGTGACAGTACATGTTATCCATAAAGATTTGCAGGTTTTAGCTACAATGTACGTGTTGGAGAGCGGTGTGTAGTAAAAAAAGGGAAAAAATGGATAGATTCATCACGTTTCAATTGTAATTTGTAATAAAGGTTGGGTAGTAAAGTGCAAGGAGCTGCTGGTGACGTGCTCCCTGGGGGTGGTGTCCCAGGAGTGCCGTAAAAAACACTACAGGGGAGATTTACTTAAACTGGAGCACTCAGAATCTGGTGCAGACGGGGGCAGGCTGACCATTTGGAAAATCGGACACTGCCCGAGGGCCCAGGGTCAGTAGGGGGCCCCATGAGATGCCCCTGGTACCTTTTTCATAGGCTTTTTTTGAGTTTGGGCAAGGACACAGGGGCCCCACAATCCCTTATTTCCCGGGGGCCCCATGAGTTGTCAGTCCGCCCCTGGGTGCAGCTGTGCATGGTAGCCAATCAGCTTCTAACTTCAGCTTGTTCAATTAAGCACATGCCACCCAGCCACTGTATAAATACGGCGGCAGGGCGGCACGGCTGGGCAAAAGCACGTTTTAAAATGTGTCCCACCGATCACGGCTATGTCCCGGCGATCAGCGGCAATCGCTGACAGAGTACACAGCTGCAGTAGGTGTGCTTTCTGTCACTTCCCTGACGCTCATCGGGACAGAAGAGTTTCTCTTTCCCGGTCAGTGGTGTTCCCTGCAGTACACACCCCCGCCCCCTAGTAAAACACTCCCCTCACACAGTTAACCCTTTCCCTGAATAATAAACTTAACCCCTTCCTCCCCAGTGCCATTAGTACAGTGTCAGTGGTTTTTTTTTTGTATTGATCACTGTATTGGTGTCACTGGGGATGTCAGTGACCCCAAGTCAGTACCCCCCAATGTCAGAATGTCCACCACAGTCCCGCCATAAGTCGCTGATCGCCGCCATTATTAGTATAGAAAAAAAACTAAAAATCCCAGTATCTTTCCCGCCATTTGTAAACGCTATAACTTTCACGTAAACCAATTAATTTACACGTATTGGGGTTTTTTTTTAGCAAAGACGTCGCAGAATGCATTTTGGCAGAAATTTATGACTAAATTTGATTTTTAAATTTTTTTTTACAGGACATGTTTTATAGCAAAAAGTCCAAAATATTGTTTTTTTCCTCAAAATTGCCAGTCTTTTTTTTATAGCGCAAAAAATAAAAACCGCACAGGCGATCAAATACCACCAAAAGAAAGCTCAATTTGTGGGAAAAAAAGGATGTAAATTTAATTTATGTACCGTATTGCATGACCGCACAATTGTCCGTTAAACTAGCGCAGCGCTGTATAGCAATAAAATGGCGTAAATTGCAGTATCTATACCATTGTTTGTAGACGCTATAACTTTCACACAAAGCAATCAATATACACTTATTGGGATTTTTTACCAAAAACATGGAGCAGAATAATTTTGGCCTAAATTTATAACCAACTTTGAGTTTACTATATATTTTTTATAGCCGAAAGTAAAAAATATTGTTTTTCTTCAAAATTTTTGGCCTTTTTTTTGTTTATAGCGTGAAAAAATAAAAAGCGCATAGGTGATCAAATACTACCAAAAGAAAGCTCTATTTGTGTGAAAAAAAGGATGTAAATTTCGTTTGGGTGCAGCATTGCATGACCGCGCAATTACCAGTTGAATTAGTGCAGTGCCGAGTAGCAAAAAGAGGCCTGGTCATTAAGGGGGGTAAATCCTCAGGAGGGCAAGTGGTTAAACGTTTAAATTAAAACCTGGAAGCTGATTGGTTTCTATGGAGAGCTGCACCAGATTTTGCATGCTCCTGTTTTGGTAAATCAACATCTATGGGTTTGGAACTCCAACGAATTTCACACTATATTATTTTGCACATGCATCTTGGGCAGGAAAACAAAACAGAGGGAGCACCGGCCTTGTGCATTACATTTAAAAGTATGTTTATTAAATATAAAAAAGTATTCTACTCACAATAGTAAATAAATATAAGGCACATCATGAAGGGACCGCTTTGTCCAATTCGTACTGCGTTTCTGTCTTATAATGAGAATGATGGACATCCAAAAGGCTGACGCGTTTCGAGGACTAGCCTCTTCCTCAGAGCCTACTAGTATTATAAGACAGAAACGCAGTGCGAATGGGACAGAGTGGTTCCTTCATGATGTACCTTATATTTATTTACTATTGTGAGTAGAATACTTTTTTTATATTCAATAAACATACTTTTAAATGTAATGCACAAGGCCGGTGCGCCCTCTGTTTTGTTTTTCTCTATTAGTACTTTTGGACTCCCCGGTTCTTTGAGGGCGGCAAGGAGTGCATATTCCAAGATTTTCGTTGTGTGGTCCTTATGACATAGAGCCCGTCCCTAAGTGCAGGAGTATCTGGGTTTTTCCACTTCCACAATCTTGGGCGGGAATTCTGGCTAGCATAGCAATTTTTATACCGGCAAGAAGATGTAATATACATGGCACTTGTTAAATCTCAGGACTGGCTAAGCAGAAATTTCAGGACTGGCTAAGCTGTTTGTCTGGAGTTCAGCTTTAACCTTCTCAAGTTCAGATCTGTTTTTTTGTTTACATATTTAAAAAATCATTTTATGACTCAAGGTTATATAAAACCTCCTAAAACATTTTCGGAAAACATTATACATTTTTAGAGAACAAAATATTGGTAGTTCTAAGGTCACATGGAATTAGTGCAATGGTTTAGGAAGCACAAAAATTTCAGATACAAATATGCTTAAATTGGGGCACATATACACAATAAATTACCAAATTTTGGTAAAATAAAAAAGATGAGATTGCCTGGGTAAATAGATACCTATCATGTCAAACCTTAAAACTGCGTGTGTCCATGAAACGGCAATAACATTTATGTATCCTATATTTTCAATAGGCGATGCTTTAAAAACCCCTACTGTTAATCATTTTAAACAGTTTTAATTTTAATTAGTTTTAATTGTAAATAATGGGCCTAGAATTTTTGCTCTCACTCCAGCATGCACAACAATATGTAAAATGCATGTCGCAATCAATGTTTTTGCGCAGAGGTCCTGCCGAAGCTTGTATTTACATTCTTATGTGCTTGTATGTGGGAGTTTTTTTCCAAAAATATTTTTTTTTTGGGGGGGTGTGGATTTTAAGTGCTTGGGTGTAACTTTAGTTTTTTACACTTTTTTTAATTTTTTTTTTTTTTTTACCAAACTTTTTTTAATCACATGGGGACAAAAAGTCCTCTATGTGATACATTTTTGGTGACAGGTTTTCTTTAATTAGACATTAGGGGTCTAAAAAACCCCTATATGTCTCACCTGCCCTCCAATGAAGCTAATGGAATGCAGATCATGTTCTATTAGTTTCTTCTCCAGCTACATTGGCCAGAGGGGGGGGTAACACCAAATTAAATTTTACAAATCATTTTTGTGTCTTTAACAGGAAGGGGAGATCAGGAAATTGATGCAGTAAAAGGGTTAAGCAGGTAGATACCTTCCAGATGTCTGTTCAACAGATCACTATATATCCTGGCTCTCTTTTAGCCAATTATTGTCCATGCAGCATCTTGATTGATTTTTGGCCCACTTCATCCCATCCCCCACAACTTCCTTTTGGCCAGTGATGCTGTACATCATATTTGACAAACAACAGGAAGATGAAGGGGACTCGGAAGATAAACCAAAGTTGACGAATTGACCAGGGACCACATACCAAAACAAGAACTGAGTGGGACTTTAATTATGCCTCAGAGAGTGAAAATAACAAATCATTACAATATTTTATTCCATGTTAAAATACGCCCAAAGGACATACAACAAAAAACAACTATTAAAATACAATACAGCTTAATTGGATTATGATTAATGATAAACTTACTAGTATACTTAAACAACATACTTCTAAATTTGAGAACACTTGGGATCCATGCATTCGGTATACTTCTGCTATATAATGGATTCTTGGCTGGCCCTCTCTCTTATTTCTTTTCTGGGTTTTATTCTTTATTTTCTTCTTCAGTTCTTTCCTCATTTTTTGTTCTCTATATTCTTGTCTATTATTTTAACCTCCCTAGTGGTCTGATTATGTCCATATTTCTGTGCTCAAAGCGGTACATTTTTTTGCATGGAAATATGTTTTTTTTTATTGTAGGCCTGTAATTTTTAGGAATAACTCACTGAAATCTGTCCGAACAAGAGTCTAGTAAACATCCCGGGTATGATAAAACTTGAAACACGAAATCATAAATTCTAATTTAATAAATAATCATAAAAAATAATAATATAATAATAAATTTAATTCAATAATATAATCAAACCAAAAACACTGAAATTTGAAATAGAGCGCCAAGTTCGCACATCACTGAGCAAAGTCACAAAATCGTTTTCAGTGTCTGATGAGGAATTTCCCCCACGAATCATTATCACTCAATTCTGCAAGTGGTTCTAATTTACTATCGCTGTTCTCTAGCTGGTCTAAAACCGCTTTTGACCTAAAGGGACGCTTTTTGGACACCATGGACGTTTCTCAGTTTCCAGGCAGAAAGAACAGTAAAAATGCAGGCAGGGCACCGGACAAAGCACTTGGGACAAAATGTATGAAATGGTTTGATACAGGAATGTTTTACTATGTGATTTTAGTGATTTTAGTGAATGTCACTTTTTGTGATTTTCAAATTTCCCGTCGTTCTGTCCCCGTATGTATCACAGTAATAGGTGCAGCGCTAATAAATGGATATATTATATATACTGTATAATACAATATCAGCAAGTGCAAAATGAATATCACTTAATGGTGATTATTAGTGACTGAACAGTTCAAAGTGATAAAATCGTGTGGATCCTGGGGGATCACAATTTCAGGTGCACGGATGTCTTGGTCCAAAAGTGATAGGTGATGTGACTCAAATGAATGAAATACGCACTCAAAAGAAGTGCGTTTAAAATACGCAGTATGAAATCCTGCATCAAGCAATGAGAAGGTCATCTGTTTCCAGGTCAGATCACATCATAAATCACCATCCAGGTACATCAGCGTGTAGGATTCCCTGGTCCGTTAGCATGTATCACCCTCTGGGATCATCTTTTGTTGTATGGGCACTGCGAATGAAGGCACTCACACGGAGAGCCCAATAAGAGACCACATAGCGTGATACTGTATAAAGTACCTTTATTCCAAATAATGGGTACAATCAATAAGATAAAAAGAAAGGTACTGACCATGTGTTCCAGATTGCCACCTGTGGTGGTCAGATGTCCAGTTGCTGTAGCCCCCTGACGCGTTTCGTGCGATGCACATAGTCATAGGGAGAAAGGGCTTACAGCAGGGACATCCATTGCAGTGCTATTTATATATTTGAATGGCGATTATACTTAGTGCGGCCGCCATTTTGCCGGCTATCGGCGCATGCGCAGTCCATCGGCGCCATTTTGCCGTGGATCGCGGAAGC